AAAAAAAAAAAAAAAAAAAAAAAAAACATTGTTAGCTGGATATATACATGTGAACTGTTTGAACTTGGTTCGCATGTTCACATGACGTAACATGTGCTTGATATTCTTCTTCTTTTTTAAAAAAAAAAATGGTAAATCATTTCTGGGAGAGACAATGTAAAAGTTCTAATGGCCACATGTTGTGGAAATTTGATATGATACGGATTTGAACTCAAGTCCTTTTAAGGATCCATGGAACGCCTTGACCACTCGACCACATATATTTTAAATTAATTGATATAATTATATAAAAAACGGCAATTGCATGCATGATGAAAGGGATACATTTTAAAATAGCCCGTTCCTATGCTATACCAAGAGATATATGTTACAAACCTAAATATTTGTTCATTGTTTAACAAAAGAAGAATAAAACAATTAAAGAGAGACATTTGAAAGAAAAAAAGCAATCCATGATCATTTACTGAACAATAAGAGAAAATAAAGTGAAAAATAAGAGAAAATAAAGTTGTACCCTGAAATGTTTAAATTGTTTTCTACCAAGTATCCCCTATATATTTATTCTGAAGCGATGTTATCACGTGTCATTTTTACAGTTAATTTCACAAAAACAAATGTGACATAACTATTAAAATTGATGACATGGCTTATGACAAAATATGACATGAATAATTATATTTAATGTTGATTTATATTTTTGGTAAACGTTTTAAATAAGGTAATAACGCATACTTTACATTTAATGTTGATATTTATTTATGGTAAAAATTAAAATAAGGTAATAATTCATATATCATCTTTGAAGTAAATATATTCAAATATAACATTACAAATTTTGAAATATTATTCTATTTTATTTTTTATATTATACAATTTGTATTACTAAAGTTTTAAAAAATTGCTACAACTTTGTAAAAATAGAACTTTCAAAAATTATTATATTTTAAAAAATATATATTATTATATTTTACAAATTTTGAAATATTTTCAAGTATACTTTTTATAATTATATAATTTATTTTTATTTTCAATTTTTTTGCGGTTTTTAAAAACAAATATAATTATAATCTCAATACCGTTAGTTTTATTTATAACATCTTTTAATTTTAGAAATATTATTTAACCATTTTATATTTTGATAATTATATACCTAACAAAATTTTCTCTTAATTGTATAAAATCTAATTTAACATATTTTAGCCAAAAAAAGATAAAAATGTTCCTAAAATTTTAGTTTTAATACATATATATTATTAAATATAAATTAAATATAAATTTTTTATTTTATCTTAACTTTTACATATAATTAACGTAAAATTAATAATTTTATAAAATAATAAACATAAAATTAACTAAATTTTATTTTAAAAACTTTTATTTCTGCACATATTGCAGTGAAATACCTAGTTAGTATAAAAAAGATTTGAGTTAATTGTCTGCTTGTAAACTAATTTTACAAATAAATAAAGTTTCCCCAATTCTTTTATTAACTGTTCCCGATAAGAAGATGCGCGAGACTTTTAATTAATCACGAGGACACTAATAAACAACTAGTTATTAAAAAATTGGTATCAGGAGATGCTATTTGTTTGACTATAAATTTGAAGCCGAAATATCTCGAGTATGCATTGCAGAAACGAAGAGTACACAAAATGGGAGCAAAAGGTTTGCTTATCCTCAAGCTTCTAATGTTTCAGGGTCTTTTCATTTCACATTCTCAATATGCAGACTTTGATTTCTTCTACTTAGTTCTTCAGGTATATACCCGTGGTAATTTATTGTTTTAATTCATGTTCAACAAATAAAACTAGAAATTAATGAATAGTCATAGCATTAATTTGGTTCAAAAATATTTGTGCAGTGGCCAGGAGCCTATTGTGATACAAACCGTAGCTGTTGCTATCCAACATCCGGTAAACCTGCGGCAGATTTTGGCATCCATGGTCTTTGGCCTTATTACGTAGATGGTTTATATCCATCACATTGCAGTCCCGACAGTAAATTTAATCAATCTCAGGTACATGTAATAGTACTATATGATTGTGTCATATTCCCTTTCCCTTCTATGATTTTTTATACAATATACATCAAATTCATATTTGAATGTATAGATATCGGATCTGGTAAGTAGTTTGAAAACGAAGTGGCCAACACTATCGTGTCCGAGCAACGAAGGTTTCAAGTTATGGGAGCAAGAGTGGAAAGAACACGGCACGTGTTCCGAATCTGTAATGAATCAACATGACTACTTTGAGAAGACTCTTAAACTTAGAGACAGAGTTAATCTTCTACAAATCCTAACAAACTCCGGTATATATATTACACTAATCGTTTAAGAAGTCATTATAACTAATCATTGTATTCATTAAACTCGATGTATTATCTTTTCCCTTTCTTATGTATGTGTGTGTGGTAACTATAGGAATCAAACCAGATGACGGCTTCTATGATCTTCAAAGTATTAAAGACGCGATAAAACAAGAGATTGGGTTTACTCCAGGAATCGAATGTAACAAAGATCCGGAGCTTAACAACCAACTTCACCGGATCTACCTTTGCGTTGATACATCAGGGACTGAGTTTATCGGATGTCCAGCGTTGCCAAAAGAAAGATGTTCTTCTATACTCCAGTTTTCTAAGTTTTAGTTATATAAACCTTTGACTGTTTTGTTGTAATCTTTATTATCTTTCCATACTCCAACTTTCATTTGGACTCTACCATGTAATGTTTCACATGCTATGTAAAATTTCATAAGGCTGAATTTAATCAAGAGAGATTTAGTGTAATACCCAAAATCCAAGTTTAAATTTGAGGTTTGTCTATTGATGAATATTATTGACTCAAACAATATAATTACATCTGGAAATGCCCAAAATTCTTTTCTTCACTTGATACATTTTTTTTTGTTGATTGCAGAGAAGTGTCAGGAGAGAGAGTGTCCACATATTTGCTAGATTTATTTTAATGCTAAAAATATTATCAAATATTAATATTTTGAATATATAATATAAAAATATTATAGTAGATAAAAGAAATTAACATTTGATATAATTGAAAACATAAATTACAATTGATTGCAAGATTCAACATCTCTAAAATTTACAATTTGTTATAAATTTGATTAGTGTTATATTAATTGTTTGCGGTTAACTCATTTGGTAACTGATACATATTTTATTACCTGATAAATTTACTCAGTTAGATAGAAAAATTAAAACTTCGACAATATTTATTTGTTAACATATAATACTTAAGGCATGTATTCACATCTACAAATATATTAACAACTAACACTTCTATTTATAATTATGGTACATGTATTTGTTAACAGCTAAGACATCTGTTAACATCTACAAAATTTGTTAACAGTTAATGCCTCTATTAATACAACTGGTACATGTATTTGTTAACAGCTAAGACTTCATTGTTTTTTTTTTATATATATATATATTATTAACACTATATCTGTTAATATTACATGTAGCAAATAATAATTCGAAACCTCAAAATAAAAAATATTTCATCAGGTAAAGAAAAGAAGAAAAAAAAATTAGAATAGAGAATTACAAAAAAAAAAATGATGAGAGAGTTTGAGGGTGGAAAAGAAGTAGAATTGAAGGAAAGAGAGAGAATGTCAAGAGAGAGAATGTTAGGAGAAATATTTAGTGTAATACCCAAAATCCAAGATCAAATTTGAGGTTTGCCCATTGATAGACATTATTGGCTCAGATAATACAATTACACCTGAAAATATCCAAAATGCTCTTCTTTACCTGACACATTTTCTGCTGGTTATAAAGAAGTGTCAGGAGAGAGAGTGTTAGATTTTTTTTAATGCTAAAAATATTATCAAATATTAATATTTTTTAATATATAATATAAAATATTATAATAGATAAAATAATTTAACATTTGATATAATTGAAAACATAAATTACAATTGATTGCAAGATTTCAACATCTCGAAAATCTACAATTTGTTATAAATTTGATATTAGTGTTATATTAATTGTTAGCGGTTAACTCATTTGGTAACTGATACATGTTTTGTTACCTGATAAATTTACTCACTTAGATAGATAAATTAAAATTTCGACAATATTTATTTGTTAACATATAATACCTAACACATGTATTCACATCTACACATTTGTTAACAACTAACACGTCTACTAATAATTATGGTACATGTATTCGTTAACAGTTAAGACATCTGTTAACATCTACAAAATTTGTTAAAAGTTAATGTCTTTATTAATACAACTGGTATATGTATTTGTTAACAGCTAACACCGTATTATTATTATTATTATTATTATTCTATATATATATATATATTATGAACACTATATTTGTTAATATTATATGTAGCAAATAATAATTTGAAACCTCGAGATAAAAATATTTCATTAGGTAAAGAAAATAACAAAAAAATAGAATAGAGAGTTTGGACGTGGGAAAGAAGTAGAACTGAAGAAAAGAGAGAGAGTGTTAGGAGAGAGAATGTCAAGAGAGAGAGTGTCAGGAAAGAGAATGAAAAGTATTTTAGTCAACAATTTTGCATGAATCACATCAAGTATAAACGGTAAATTAAGGGTCGGTTTAAGGTGTGATAGCATATATTCTCTTTAATCAATATTCCTTTTGTTCCTTAAAGAAACATATTCTAGAAAAAGATTGTTTCTAAAAGATTATTTTATATTTTGAATACATGTTTTATTAATTAATTGTTAACTTGAAAAAATTTAATTGCACTGGTTGATTTTTTATTGGTTTAAAATTATGAAAAAAAAATACAAAAAACTATATATTTTTATTATGTTTTATTAAAAAATGTAAAAAAATTAGGATAGGAATCGTTTAGAAACAGATGGGGTACTAAATATGAAACTTCTAGATACTGAATACTTCTAGAAGAGGGTTTATCAAAAATAATACTTCTAGAAGACTGAGCCAAACTTGCCGTTGTTAAAATATCTGTTTTTCTGAAAGGAAAGAGGATAAGGATTTGAAATCTTACACTATTAAAAGTTGTTAATAAGGGTCTGTGAGCTATGCCACGTGACAATTATAATCAACCAATCAGAAAGAACGAATTTGCCATGTCAGACTCAGGCAGATCCAACTTCTCCTCCGTAAACGTTCCCGACTTCTCCACTCCTTTCATCTTCAACAGAGAAACATAAAGAGACTGATTTAAGGAGGATGTCGATCAGGAATAAAATAACAAAACAGTGAGACGATATTTAAAAACAGAGCAAGAAAAGATAGATAATAAAACACGAAACTTGCATAAATCCAATAGTGTTCATACAATGTTTCCCTCTTAGCATCGTAATCTGCGTTGCCTTGCTGCAAGATTCCATGACTACCTAACAAAACAGAATTGGTTTCAGCTTTGACTGATGATGAGAAGAGGGCAAAGACTCAACCTTTGGTTCGATCCCACCACTGAGTTCCACCCTTACTCTATCCTCTGGAGTAAACGCAGTGTTGTGTAAGTCTTCTCTGCCTTCTTGATTCAGTGATGAGATTGTGGACCCATCGTTTACTGATTCTTTTGCTAAAGATCAAGCGATTGGAGTATACAGCTCCATTTGGAATGCAAATGATCTCATCACTATATTCATAAGTTGATAAGGATTGATCAGTATCCTTTCCTTCGATCAGAAGGTGCATCGCTCATCAAAACCCCTCATGTATTAGCCTCATCACGGTGTCTAAACTTATCTATCCCGACCACTCCTATTTTTGTTTCGTATTGAAGGTGTTCGACGAAATTCCTAAGTGCATAAAACCGAAACGTTTGTCAATTTTACGTTTGTCAATTCTTTTAATTTTCTTTTTGTAACTTACGTTTGTCAATTTCGTGGGGAAAAAACTCTCTTTTCTAACTTTTTTTTTTAAAAACATGCGAGACAATTTGCAAGGCAAGACTTTGGGTGATGGAACTAAGAGAAACCACAGAACATAATTTCGTTTGGTCAGAGATCTCTGTTTTTTTAAGTCAAAGATTTCTGCTATTGTCATCTCAAATTTGGTGTCAGAAGCCATGACCGTTTTAGTTTGGTTTAACGTTTTCTTTCGATTCTGTTTCTCAGGCTAGAACACCGGATTGGAAATTGTTGAGGGAGCTCAGAGGAGACATGATTGAGAATCAAGATACATGCTAGAGAAGATGGTATCTACTTCCCAGTTTCTTTTAATATATTCTCCTGTGTGCTCATTAATTTTTTTTTTTTCTAATTCATGTGAATAGTTTATAATCATCATCCATATTGAACATGTAGAGCTATCAGCAGCAGAGTTAGTGTCACTTAGATCAGAACTTTCTGACTTAGAAGAAAGAGAATCTTACCTCAAAGCACAGTAAGTGTTTAGTTGAGTTAATAAACAGTTCATTACATCCAGAAGTATAATTTATTTGACAACAATGTGTTTGCTTACTTTCTTACACTGTCACTTTTATCTTCTGACACTTTGTTAATTCATATGACTGTTTTGACTCTCTGACTTTGCTTGAGTAAGTTGAAAAACTTAGTTTTATAAGTTTCACATTGATATATTTATATATGTAGATTCTCAGTTTCAGGTTGACTTGGAGGCAAAGAATGGCATGGAGAATTCTGATGATGGGGAGGTATAGGCTGGGGAGAACATTGCGAGTTTTGTAAAAGAAGAAAGATGCTAAGAACGGGGTGACTGCAAGAGGAGGACCTTCCAATAAGCTTTGAGCGCAGATTTTCATTTCTCCTCGCAAGAAGTTATTGGCCAAGGCGGTGGCTAAGCTGGGTGAGAAGGGTGCCAAGAAGGCTTCCATTAAGCCAAAGAATCCAACAGAGTAAGGTGTACTGGTTGGTGGTTTTTTTTTTAAATTTCAGTCTTTTTGAATAATGTTGGTTCAGTTTGAAATCCTTAAGATATGGTTTTAGTGGTTCGATGTTCAAGCGTCTGCCTTGGCGGCTTTTGGGTAGTCAAAAGTCTATTTTAATAAAACTTTCTTGCAATTGTATCACTGTGGTGAGGGTCTTGCATTGGTTCCTGTTGTTATGTTGAAATTTTACCACGTTTCTTTGGTTGTTTTTTGGCCGTTACGTAAGCTACGGCTTTTCCATTTAACATTATGGTTAATGATTAAAGAATCAGTTAGCAGTATAATCATTATTCCTATGGTGTTGTTTTTTTACAAGAATGTGGAGTTGTAAACTCTATTGGTGGAAATGGTTGGTGGACGGACATGAGTAGTGGTACGAGTAGTGGACATGAGTAGTGGTATGTCTTACGATTATCAAGCATTGGGTTGTGTGGTATGGATTGGACTGGCTACGGGGTAAGGATAATAAAAAGTATGAAATTTTTTTCTGGTAATTTTTGTTGGGGATCTATGTTATGGATGTTATACAGTTATGTTTCTAGAGTACTATATACTGTAGATTGTATCTGTATGTAGTTTATAAACCTATGGTCACACCGGGTGGTAGGAATTGGTGTAACATATTGGAGTTAACATATACACGATGTATACGACTGTTTTTACTATGTTTTTTTTTGGTTCACTGGTCATGAAAGGAATTTCTCAAGTTTCATCTTTAAAGAAACAAGAATCCCCGGTGAGATTTGTTTGAGTGGATCAATGAAAATTTTGAGTTGGAATTGCCAAAGAGACTATTAGTTATCTACGGGAAATTTGGTAAACATAAGCCATTTTTCATTTTTTTCTCTAAGACAAAGCAAAAATTGGATTTTATTCTATCTTTCCAATTTCATTTCGGTTATAGTCATATTCATATGGTCGATCCTTTGAGTAGTAATTGAGGGTTAGCTCTATCTTTCCAATTTTAACTTATAGTTATACCATATATTTTATTTGTCTTTTTATATTACTAAAAAATTAAACTATTATTGTACTTATATTTTAAATTAATCAAATAACTAAATGAGTATTACCAGTAATATTAAACTGTAACAAAATAAAAATGTTTTTCTTTATAAAATGAAAAAAATTTTAATATCGAATAATATTATAAATAAATGAATATATATAAATTTACTGACGAAAATAATATATATATATATATATATATATAAATTACCAAATTGTAATAATTAAATATAATAAATGGGTTAAAAATAATTAATTTAATAAATTACCAAAATTAAAAATTTAATAAATATAAAAAATGTTTTGGTGTAAAGTTTAGTGTGATGGTTGGAGATGATAATAAAATTTAACACTGAATTTCATGTCAAGGTGGGAAATACACCCATTAATGCTGAGTTATTTTATTTTTATGGATTATGACACTTTTTGTTTTTGCCTTCTGTAGAATAGTTTTCTTTAGTTACAAAGATAATTTGATTGAAAATTTGTATTACTCAAGACACCATTAAATAATATAAATTTTATTTTTATATTTAGCATCTAGACAAAAAAAATTAAGTTTTATCATTTTCAATAACCTTTCATACTAAATTATATGTTTAAAGATATGGTCTCTTATCAACTATAACGCATTATAGTAACACTGCTTTCACAATTATCATACTAGGCGATATCTTTAAAAAGAAAAATAAAATGATGACTTCATATTTCTAAAACAAAATTTTGAGGTACAATATTATTCATATGTCATATTAATTCAACATAACTAAATAGATAATTTCATATAATTAATAATACATTTATTGTGAGAACAACTTCTAGAATATTTTTTTAAACATTCTAAAAAAACGTAGCAAATGATAAAAATAAAACAAAAGCAATATAACAGAATAAAAAATATGTTCATGAAATATAATATTATATTTTTAATGATAATTTTATGTTATGTATTATCAAATTTTGTTTTACTCAATTCAATATTCCACTATCAAATATATTCAAAATAGTTTCAGTCTTAAACCAACATTCAATAATATTTTAAATTCATGATTTATGTTTACAACAATGTTATTAATTTTTTTTCCTCAGACACTTATTTTATAATACAATTTTGATATTTTAATCAAGCCAGTATACAAACAACACAATAATTCCACATTGACTATTCTAACGTTTTTAAAAAGATATTATGTCAAATGTCAAAATTTATAAACATGAAAAAGTGATAATTTTCAAAACATGTTTTCCGCGCGTAGCGCGGAAAAAGGATCTAGTAATAAATAATAAATACTATAAAACGCTAAAAATACACAGTACTGCAATTGATTGAACAAGAAGAGTTTCTAGAGTGTTCTGTAACCTTCGTTAATTTCCTTTTTGCCAGCTTTCTCATCAACACTGTAACGTATATAATCTCTAAGCCTTTCTTCGTCTGTTTGTATCTAAACCTTTCAACTTCCTTCTTCTTCCTCTATCGAGAAAGTTAGCGTTTTTTCTTGTTCACTCTAAAAAAACACTTCTTTTTCACTCTTACGATTTTCTCTTTGGTGTTTACGCGATGTCTTCGGAGACGGATTTTGCAGAGTTTTCAGCTTTGTTCGAGAGGATGATCCGACGAGGCGAAGGTCTCTCACGATTCTTACCCCTCATCTTATCTTTAGCCGTTGAAGCCGCCGCCGCCGACGAGGACGGTGAACCGGCCGATCAGACGGCGAGACAGAGAGGGATCGTCATCGATCCGGTGAACCAGAGAGTGGTGATGATCAGATCAGCTTTGGGAGATTTCTTAAACGGCGACGTTTCGGGGAAACAAGGGAAATCGCCGGCGTCGAAATCGTCGGTGGAGAGTATGCCACGTGTCGTGATCGGGAAAGATGAGGAGAAGGGAGGATCGTGTCCGATTTGTCTTGAGGAGTGGTTGGAAGGTGACGTGGCTGCGGAGATGCCGTGTAAGCATACGTTTCACTCGAAGTGCGTGGAGGAGTGGTTGGGGAGACACGCCACGTGTCCGTTGTGTAGGTATGAGATGCCTGTTGAGGAAGTGGAGGGAGAGAAGAAGGTAGGGGTTTGGATTGGGTTCTCTGTTAGTGACGGAGGAAGAAGAAACGTAGAAGAAGACGGAGGAAGGAGAAGGGGTGGTGACGCGAACCCTCGAGATGAAACAGAGGCTTAGTTTTTTAAGTTTTAGAAAGAAACTTGTGTATATTCTTTTCGTTTTACTTTTATTTTTTCTAATGTCTTTCCAATTTCAATAAATGATTGGTTGATGAATGTTTGTGTTCCAAAAAAAAAAAAAAAAGATTGGTTGATGAACTTGAATGTCGAAGCAGTATAGGATTGGTTTCAGGAAACATGACTCATTGCAACAAACAAACAACACAACAAAACAAAGATTGCATTCAATGTAAGAATGTTCTAGGGCTGTGGTTGTGGGCTTTCTTGGGGACTAAGAAGATTCTCATCTTTCTTTCTTTGCTTCCTCGGTCTCTGAGTAATTTGATTCCTTGTATTTTCCCAACGTCAAAACAGTAGCCATTGGGTTTGTTCCTGGTGATTCTTCAAATGTTGAGCCATCCATAACTGTTAACCGTTTCATAAGTTCTCACATTGTCCTTACTTTGTACAGAAGCTCTTAAGCTCTTTTATTACCAGCTAAAAGCTTTGCCCGAGTCTTCAACCCTATGGAAAACATCACAGTCTCTGCCTCGCAACTAATCTAAATCACTATTTTGTCGATCCAGTTGACTTGGCTCCAGTTTTCATTTCGAACTTTCGTTTTCATTTTTCCAATAATTTAATTTGAACAGCTAATTTCATTTTATCATTTCTTAACACACACTCTATTTGAAGTTTATTACCAAGGAGCGTAATGTTAGAGATCAACATGCTCTCTTTATTGATTAACTGATAATCCTTTTTCTGATAGTATTGGTCAGTATCATACCAGTTTACTCAGCTGTCTAAATATATCGGTTTCGCACAATCATAATCCAGCTGTACAGGTAAACCAAATAAATAAAAAAAGCTTATCGATTGGATAATAAACGGTTAATTAAGATCGTCGCCACTCGCCAGCAAATAGAATTTCAAGAAAGATAAAAACAATCAAAGCTCTACACAAATTTCTCTACTTCTTTTTCCAGCTACAATTAAACCTTCTCTTTCCCTCTAGAATGCACAAACGAGAACTGATTTGACAGACTGTCCATAGCAAATGAGCTACTTTTCTTCATTTTTATCCGAGAATCTTTGCTTGAGTTTCCTCTCCACGAGAGGCTTTCCCTTGTCCTGTTTATCATTATCATGCTGTTTCTTGGCGGCACATTAACAGCACTTTCAACACAGTCACCAACCTGAGTACAGCCCCACTGTCTTGTCGATGACCCATCCTCACAAACCCTCAGGACAATGTTATGTGATTTGGACTGTTCTCCTTCCTGTTTGACACACACTGGACAAGGCGGGTCATTTCGGTGAGCCGTTGGAGTTGATTGGTCAAGACATTCAGCGTGAAAGACGTGTTGACATGGAAGAACTCCTGTGACGGGCATGTCTCGGTTTCTTACGATGGACCGAGATCCACAAGGAGGTTTCTGTGAGATGTATCTGTTACACAAACCGCATCTAAACGTACTTGAAGCTACTCGTTGCGCTTTGGTAGAGTTATTATTATCCCAATCAAGAACTGCCTCAGGAACATCCATTGAGTCTATGCTGCTTGTTGTCCCACTACTCCAACTGCATGCATCCGCAGAGTCGAATGTTGTTTCTCTAGCATTACTAAAAGGATGGTGTATCGGATGAACCGGCTTAGACATGAAAAATCGCCGGTTTGAGAAGTTGCGGTTAGTTTCAAAGTCACCAATATCAGAACCAACATTTCTTGAAGTACCAGGTAGTTGCTCAAGAATGTGATCTGCATTAGGAGCAAAAGGTTAGCACAAAAGAAAAAGATAAACAGAATGTGAGTTTAGTGAAATAAAAACGAACCTCTTCTTGTAGCAGAGTCAAAATCACTGGGAGTCCAATGAAGAGTGTGAGAAAGGTCAGGACTAGGAAGAAGATTAGCGTTTGATGATGTTGAAGAACCATATAAGCTAATACCATCGGTTAAGCCCCATCTTGATGAAGGTGGAGAGAAGCTTGTATTAGTCCTCCAATAATGCTGCTCATGAGGACCAAACGAAAAGTCACGACTTGTAGAATCTGACCTATCTGATTTCGCAGCCACACAACATAACGAACCCATCTTTATCTAAGATTAAACCCTTTGGCTTACAATATCTTAGCTTCTCTATACAAATGTCTGAAGACTCTCAAAACCAAACACCTCTCTAACTCCATATAGCTTACGGATGTGTTCCTTGTCCTTTAGCTTTATAGCACACCTCTGAAATCAAAAAGTTTCAATCTTTCAATCATAAAAAAAAACTCGAACAGAGATTAAATGGACCCAACGAAGTAATCTCTCAATTAGGAGTAGTAAAGATCTCTGGCATTTAGTTTTCGAGTGACAGTAAAATCCGTAAGAAGATTTGAGTAAAGTAAATTAAAAGGGCCCTTACTGCTTCGAAACTTGGAGAGACATATCTGGAAAGAAGACCACTGTTGTCGGAAGAAAACGAGTCTACTTGCCGCGAATTCGATCGAAAAAACCCTAATTCTTGGAAAGGGGGAAGAATTTTTTTATACTGCTTCTTCTTCTTTACTGTACTGTTTGTAACTTAGCTTTACCTTCTTTCTTTCTTTTTTGTTCAAAAGCTTTACTTTTTTTTTCTCTCTATTATATTATGAAGCAAATGCTCAATGTACATATATATGATATAGGAGCTCAGTAATTAATGTGATTCAAACGTTGAATGCATTTTGTTGACGAAGGAAAACTCGGAACGTATTTAACTGTTTTGGAGGAAAACTTGAATTCGTTGAATTTTAGTCAATGAAAGTTAATACTTCTACATTTAAATATGCAAATAGTTTTGAATAACTACTATACTATGCATATTTTCTAGGTATTCATATTGTTATCAAGGGACATGCATGCATTTTAAATATCTGACTGTAATTAGAGAAGATAACTATTAGAGAGATTCATTGTTCCTAGGGCTGGGCTTATTATCTGTTAAATTTGATTTGATTTGTTATTCGTTTCGATTCAATCCGAAAATTCCGAATATCTGTAAACTTTCGAATCAAAGCAAATACTAAAAATCAAATATCTGTTAAAATCGAAACAAATCACAAATACTAAAATTTTAGGAAGCGAATATCCGATCCGATCCAGAAATATATAAATATATGTATATCTTGATTATATTTAAAATACATAAATTATATAATTATTATTCTAACATATGATTTTGAACAATTCTATTCACATTATTATTTACATAAAAGTATTACATAAAAAAAAGAGAAAAAAATTATGAAAATTATATCTTTTTTTTTAACTTTTGTGTTATTATAATTGTAACTTAAACTTAAAAAAATTACAAAATATGTAAATTCGCTAGTTCTTTTAATTTTTATTTTATATATCATGCAAAAAAAGTATTTTTGCAAACAAATTTTTATCAGAATTTTAAGATTATTTATTAATCAAAATAGATGAGATATCCGTAAATATTCGTAAATATTCGTAAATATATCTATTTATTTTCTGGATATTCATATTTTCCCGAAGCAAGGAAATACCAAAATTAGATATTCTTAACATTCGAAACAAATCACAAATATCTTGAAAAACCCGGATATTCGATCATGTCCCCCCTCCCCTAATTGTTCTGCTGCATGTTTGATTTTCTTTTAGTACAACAATTAGGTGATTTCCGCCTAACTTCAGCCTGGTGTTTTTGAACTACCACTTTTACCACTCTTTTTTCAACCAATTAATTGTATATTAGATTTTGACCCGCGCTTAAAAGAGCGGAAATTTTTTATGATTTAAAATTTATATAATTAGGTTTTGTTTTAATTTAAAGAATATTTTAATATAAAATCAATTAACCAAAATTTGTGGTGATGATTTTTTTTCATTAGTTTTTAGTTTCACTTTTTATTTTTAGATTTTGGTTTTTAGTTTTTAAGTTTCTACTTTTCATTTTCAGTTTTTGGTTTGGCTTTTTAATTTCTAAACCCGTTGAGTTAGTTTGAACTGATATTACCAACAAACAAATCTCAAATAATCGAACATCTAATTTAAAACTGAAAAGATGAAAACAAATTAAAAAAAAAATTGAAATAGTTTATATTCTAAATAAACAAAGCAAAAAAAATATAATATGTGTTTTCAGCTTTTGGTTTTGGATTTTAGATTTTAGATTTGGTTTTTGGTTTTGCTTTACATTTTTTTTAATCAGTAAATTATTTAAGAAAAACAATACAATAAATTATTTAAAAGTTACAATTGAAATTTATCAAAACAAAGTGATTGTTATTTAAAATAAAAAAATATATTAACATGTTTTAAAGTACATGTTTTAAATAAATGATTAATAATAGATAATTTTGTTTTGTTAAAAATATTAAATATCTTTTGTTCTGAAAATAATAATTGATTTTTGATCTTTTAAGGTGAAAAATTTATTCAATGTTTTTTGGAGTTTTTTCTTAATATTAAGCGCAAAAACCAAACTATATAATTTGTTCAAAAAATAAAAGTAAGCCCAAGATTATATTCCATAAATAACCACTGGTTTAATTTAAGTATAATTAGTAGATTTTCATATTCAATATTTTGATGATATATATTCTTTTTAAACATTTCATATTTGTAGGAGAAAATATGCATTTCCGATATACACATAGATATCTGCCGTATTTTGAAGATAGTTTACATTAAGGTCGTCTTTTTACATTAATTGTGTTGGTTTAATTTAAGTAATATGGTTCAATCAATTATATGACTTATATTATTTGTAACATTCTAGAAAGGGTCCAAATTTAAATGACAACTTGTATCAGTAGATAAAAAGAATGACTCTATTTTAATAGAATAGATAGAATAGATTTTGAAGATATCTCCACAAAACTACCAATACGGGTGCTCTTTAAATTCTGTAAATTGCATTACCATAATCTTTTTAAAATTTACAAAAGTTCGTTTTTGAATAGTCATCAAGTTTTTATCAACCTTTTGTATAACTTGAACTTTTTGGCATGTAATTATATTATGAGTTTATAAAATGTTAAAAACTTACCAAATATTTTCAAAAACTTACATATTGATATTAAAAAAGTTAAGAAATTATTTGGATGGTTACGTGTTCAGAAACTAAAAACCGTAAACTTGATGAATACAAGTTAACATGTTCCGGCCTTTGAACCTAATGTAAACTAGGTCTTTTCGGATAAAAGTTTTTTTTTTTGAGAAAGAAAACAAACACTTTTTGGATAAAAGTTTTAGATTTAAATTATATTTAAAAAATAAAATTTTGATTAACTAATTTGAGTTCAACATGTTGCGAAAAAAAAAACTTGATGAATACAAGGAATGAACATTTTGTATTCCAAAACAATTCAGCAATTATTGAGCTGTGGAATATTTAGCAAATTGTAAAAGATCAAAAACTTCTATCTCTCGAAATCCGTCTCGATACATGCATAGGCTGCATTTTTTTACTTTTTTTTTAAAAAAAAAATTTTGATCGAAAGGCTGCTTCAGAAGTATGATGGGGCCTGCTGTCTGTTTTATGTGAACGTCGGCTCCATTGAGGTATTATGTGACGTTGACTTCCTAAATTTTTACGCATTTTTGCCGACTAGTTTATACAGCCTATATCAGTCGGATTACAGAATAAACAGATAATGTTTTTCTTTTTGTTATTCTTTATATTTTAGATATGAAAGTATTCAATCTAGCACATGCTGAACAAAGACTAATTCAAACTAGTTGGGTAAATTATATTTCAGGAAATATGTAGTAGACAGACTACACAATAACCTATGGCAAGTGGAATAAGAAAATTATACGTCATAATAATTCAGTTATTTAAAATATTTTTTGATTAAAACTCCCAAGTGTTTATATAAAATGACAATGAAATATGCAACATCAGAAAAACTAAAATAAAAATTGATACATGTATGTAGTCGCTAACAATTAAAAACCAAACTATAATGATAGTTGAACAATAAAGACAATAAAGTCCAATGTAGTTGGTGAATAATTTTTCCGTTGTGATGATAATCAGTAGTACCATCACTAACCTTTGAAGAACAACTAAGACTATTAAAAATATCACATTTTTTCATAAAACTCATACTAGTAATCATCGAAACAGTAACGTAATACTTTATTTAACTTTCAGTATCGATATATGATTAGATGATTAATAATACGTGTCATCACGTCCCAAAGAAGGGTTAAACTTAATAGAGATAAAAAGTAAAAAGACACATGTTATGCTTAACCTACCAATGTTTATATTTATAGACGTTAGCCTCAGTTCTTGTACTTGTCTGCTTTCAAACCCAAGAATCACGATAGAATCACAAGGAGAAGAGAGAAGCGGCTACATTTTTCTGGATCGATCGCCGATCATTGACTTATTCGTCACCGGTAAGTAGTTGCGTGTTCAAAATCCTGACTCCGATGAATGTTGGTAAAAGTGTAACCTGGTTCGTTGATTTGTCATGGATCTTGATCGGTTGGGTTAGTAATGGTTCTCGTGAGCTCAATTCTCATAGAACACTAGTTTCTTGGTTGATCTAATTTACTATTTATGTTTCTTGATTTAGCATAGTTGACCGCCCAAGTCAAGCTGCTGTTTCTTATCTAAATACTTTAGTGGCCAAGATCTGATCATTACAATTGAAATATGTCATCTTCCCTTTGGAAGTTGGAACTGTATTTGAAATTCTCAGTGTTCAGTGTATTATAAGAGATACTATCATATGAACAATTGATCAATAAAAAAAAGTATCATATGAACAATAATAGCATTGATTCTCATAATGTTTTTTTTTTTTTTCAGTTTCCTTTCACTTGTTGAAATGGCTAGTAGTACTATGAGGAACGTGCATGGTAAGAGATCTAGTTACCAATCTGACTTTACTGGAAACGGAGCAAGTAAGAGAAGAAACCTTCATGATGAGACAGATCGTAATGTCATTGGCTCTGACGACACTGTGTATCGTTACTTGTGCCCTGTCAAGAAAACAGGGAGCATTATCGGCAAAGGCGGTGAGATCGCGAAGCAGATAAGGTCCGAGACGAATTCAAACATGAGGATCAACGAAGCTGTGCCAGGTTGTGAAGAGCGTGTTGTTACCATATATTCTACTAGTGATGAGTTGAATCATTTTGGGGACGATGGAGAGCTTGTTTGTCCTGCCTTGGATGCTCTTTTCAAGGTGCATGATATGATTGTAGCGGACAGTAACGATGATGATGATGATCTTGGCGAGAAACAAACAGTAATTACTGTGAGGATGCTTGTGCCTTCAGACCAGATCGGTTGCGTTATCGGGAAAGGCGGGCAAGTGATTCAGAATCTGCGTAACGAGACCAATGCTCAGATTCGTGTCATTAAAGATAATCTACCTGCGTGTGCTTTGACTTTGAGCCATGATGAGCTTCTTCAGGTGATACACTCTCACAAGTCTTTTTATTTTATTTTTATTCTAATGCTAGCTCATGTCTATGTGTGTGTTTGTTGGTTCAGATAATTGGAGAGCCTTTGATTGTAAGAGAGGCTCTTTATCAAGTTGCTTCACTAATTCATGATAATCCGTCACGTTTCCAGCACTCTCTTCTGTCTTCTCCAAGTACATTAATGCATCAGCCATTAACTAGCTCTCACAGAAATCACTTTGCACGTAGAGATTTAGAGGATGCAACAGAGTTTTGTGTTTGTTTCATCTGTCCAGCTGAAAACGTCGGAGGTGTGATAGGGAAAGGTGGTGGTTTCATCAATCAGATAAGACAGGAAACTGGTGCAACTATTAGAGTCAATACCTCAGAAACTGAAGAAGATGATAGCATCATTTTTATATCATCAAAAGAGGTAACCAACAAACCTATTTGCATATATCTAATCTCATTACTTCAATACACCAATATGGACCGTCTTTTTGTGTGAGTACAGTTCTATGAAGACCAATCTCCAACGGTGAATGCAGCCATACGTTTACAAGAGCGATGCAGTGAGAAAGTTGGTAAAGATACAAATGATTCAACAATCTCCACTCGTTTACTTGTGTCGAGTTCCCATACTGGGTGTCTCATTGGGAAAGGTGGTGCTGTTATATCCGAGATGCGGAGTGTAACACGAGCTAATATCCGTATTATCCAAAAGGAAAATGTACCAAAAATTGCTCGTGAAGATGAGGAGATGGTTCAGGTAACTAAACACAGACACATCATTCATATTAAGTGTAAAACTAAGCCATTAGTATTCCATTTTGTTGTGGTTAGATTACAGGAAATTCTGATGCAGCTATGAAAGCTCTTACGCAAGTGATCTTGCGGTTAAGAGCTAACGCTTTCGACATGAATCATGGACTTGTCTTGCTACCAACATCTTTTCCATATATCTCTCAAGTATCAGAATTTTCAAACAAATCTAAATACGCAAAGCGGGATGGTTCCAAAGATCAAGACTATAGTAAACTGGTATGAACGGGTAACAATGTAACAAATGTTATGAATTGATCTATTTCAAGATATTATACTTAAAAGTGTATATGATTTGTTGCAGAATTCGAATTCCAAGAGAAGAAGCCATGTTTCTTAAATCAAAGATAAACCATCTTAGAAAGGTATTGCTTCATGGTTTTGGAGTTTTATTCTAAAGACAAAAGAAGATTAAATTTTTATTACTTGGTAGTGGTAAAAAAAAGTTGTCAATTGAATTCTCAGAAGAAATGTAAACCCGAGAGTGTCTTTTCATCTTTTAGTTTCTTTATTTTTTCTGTTTTTTTTTACTTTAGTATACTATTTGAATGTTGTGTTTTCATTTCTATTGTTTGCGCGCAACTAAGATAGCGTGGAATACATCAAAATCATTGTTCTGCTAAAAAAAAAGTATAAACAGTTGTATAAAGAAGATAGCCACGTTGAGACGTAACTGATGTTTACCTAGAATAAATCAAAATCATAGTTTTGTTATATTTAATTTATTTCAGCCTAATTCAGTACTGAGTTTTCTTCAGTTTCAGACGTAACTGATGTGTAACCAGAAGTAGCAAAAGGGATAAATCATACGTGTTGTTTATTTAGCCTTATTCAGTTTTCGGTAACGCAAATTGATGTCACCTGTCGGAATCGTCACGTTTTAGATCATTAGTCACTTCAAGATTACTCTTCTGATTCCTTGCACTTCTTTATCGGATTTAGCTTCTTTATATAAACATTGGAGTTTAGTTGGTGTTGAGTAGAGAAAGACAACAATGGAGGAAACCGGTGGAGTTATTCCGACAATAGACTTGGAAGAGGTTTCTGATAAGATCCTTAATCAGAAAATCCGTGAAGCCAGCGAGAGATGGGGATGCTTTATGGTGCTTAACCATGGAGTTCCATTGTCTTTGATGTCTGACATGAAGAAGACTGTTATAGATCTCTTCGAACGTCCACAGGAGGTGAAAGTGCGTAACACTGATGTGTTACAAGGGATTGGTTACAGAGCTCCAAATGGTAACAATCCTTACTATGAAACATTTGGTCTCTATGACATGACTTCTCCTCAAGCTGTCAATACTTTTTGTGACCAGCTTGACGCTTCTGCGGATCAAAGGTTTCTCTTTATTTCTTGTTGCTCTTAAAAAAGTTCATGTTTTTCATGTACCAACGTGGAGTTGACCTTTATTATATAGTAGGTGTTCTAAGAGCATGTTATTGGGAAGTTCTTAATATAGGGTTCTTAGTGGAATATAAGAACCCCATGTTAAGAATTCCCCAATTAACATGCTCTAAAAGTATGATTATCGCGGGAGATTAGTGGGTTTCTTAATAAACTTTATGATCTAGACTCCAACAAAACCTCTAAACTCGGTTCTAGAAGTAGTGAAATAAGGATCGATTTGGTATGTTTCTTGCATTGTTCGTCCATTGACACGTTGCAGTACACGATTGGTGCATTTTTTTTAGTCAGACAAAAAAAATGAGTCTAAAAAACCGTGCACTGCGGTTATAGCAATAATCATGGTCTAAGGGGTTATAGGGTCAAATCTCGTTGGAAAAGGTATATTCTCTTAAATTTATTTATTGATGGGATTTGAGGTTTCAGGGAGATTATGGTGAAGTATGCCAAAGCTATTGATGGACTTGCAAAAGATTTAGCAAGGAGGTTAGCAGAGAGTTATGGTTTGGCTGAGACAGACTTCTTCAAAGGATGGCCGAGGCAGTTTCGGATTAACAAATATCATTTTACACCCGAAACAGTTGGGAAACTCGGATTTAATCTACACACAGATTCTGGTTTCTTGACGATTCTTCAAACCGATGAAAACGTTGGTGGACTTGAAGCCATGGACAATGTTTCAGGAAAGTTCTTTCCCATAAGCCCGTTGCCAAACACTCTTGCCATCATCCTCGGGGACATGGCTAAAATCTGGAGCAACGGAAGATTGTGCAATGTGAAGCATAGAGTGCAATGCAATGAAGCAACCAAGAGGTATACTATCGCCTCGTTTTTATTAGGACCAGTGACTGATTTGGAACCACCAAATGAGTTTGTGGATGATGAACATCCGCGACTATACAAGCCTATTAGTCACGAAGGGCTACGAAACATTAGAATGATCAAGAAGTTGTCTGATGGAGAAGCACTCAAGCTTATAACCTATGAATGATAAAGACGTCACGTAAATGACACGATATGGTTTTTGTGTTTTCCTAATATTGAGAATAAAGTTGTATCTTTAGCCTATGAATTTTCGTAGTATATTAATTTGACGAATTTCATATTGAGATCTTTGTGGATGCAATATTTCTATTGGATTTCTGTTTATTGGTCTACTCATTTTTTTTTTGTGATTAGACGCTACATATTAGCCGATTAAGTGAAACCCATTAACAAGATTTACATATTACGGATGACGTAAGAGTTTCAAATATGTAAATTTGTTTTTTCTTTTTCAAATATGTAAATTGTTAACTACTTGTTGTTAGTTTGTATATTCTAATGTATTGTTTTCACAAAATAATAATTATAAGTATACTAATGGCCCGTCTAACATCATTGACTCTATTGACAATCTTAACGAAAACGAAATGTATGGATGGTTTTGGCCCCCTTTGGAAACGATAATTATATAAACCCCCCATCCCTGATGTGTTTGAGTTAGATGACTCCTATTTTTAGTTTCATATGTAAATTGTTTTTTTTTTGGTCAATTGTTAACTACTTGTTATATTTTTTTTATAACACTGATGTTTTGACTTGTTCAACAAATAAAACATGTGATACAAACGGGAAAAGAAAATAGAACATCAGTAGATACCTGCAATAAAATGGAAGGAAAACTCACTCAAATAACTCCTTATTTTTGAATCTCTTAAGTGAGAAGATGGTGCAGCCAAGCGGGAGCATGTCTAGCAATGTACGACTGATGACACTGATCACAGGTGACACTAAGAACAATCGCTGCTGCTTTATTACGTTCCTGGAAAACGTAATCTAAGCTCCATGTGTCTATTCTAATATATTGTGAGTTTGTATATTCTAATATATTGTGTTCAAAAAACAATTATTGTAAGTATATTATTTGCCCGTCTTTTATTTCTGAACAAATTTATTTGTCCGTTTAACATCATTGACTCTATTGATGATCTTAACGAAAACGAGATGTATGGACGGTTTGGCCCTCTGTGGAAAGATAATTATATAATCCACCCTCCATGATGTGTTTAATTAGATGACTCCTATTTTTAGTTTTAGCCATTTCACGCGATTCACGTTGAGATCATTAGCGTGACTCACGTTTGATGAGGTCACTAGCCACGTCGACTTGAATCAATAGATACTTCTTCAAGAATGTTCTTTCCCATAAACCCATATCGAAACACGTTTGCTATTAAACAACTACAATATGGAGCTACGGGAAGCTGTGCAATGCAAAGAGGCAACAACGCGAATTTTAATCGCCGCGGTCTTAGTAGGACCAATGGATACAAATAGCCAAATAGCCCTGCGATTTCGGTTTTCTAAAACCGAACCAAACCAATTTTTTTTTTTCATTTCTTGGGTTAACCAGAATTTTTAAAAATAATCTAAAATTAACCAAATTTAATTTTGGTCCAGTTCGGTTATCAGTTAGTTAATTTCAGTTTTCATTTTTATTTTTGCAAATAACCGATTTGGTCTAATTTTCTTAAAGACAGAATTTTAAATAAATTTGGTTATTTCGGTTGATTTTGGTTATTTTCGGTTATTATAGTTTTCGTTTTTTATCTTTTTAAACAAAATAAAAAACCAAACCAAACTGAAAACGGAACCATTTTTCAAAACCCCACCGAACTAAACTGAACTAAAGAACATAACCAAACCAAAAACCAAAAAAAAAACGGTCCGGTTCGGACAAAAACCACAGGACTCGGTACAAATGTTGTAACTCCAAGTGTGTTTGGAGGCTGATCACCTGCGGTTATACATGCCTATAAGGCAGGAAATACTAAGAAAGCTTATAGATCACTGTGAAGTTGTATGGTGTAGAAGCTCTCAAGCTTTTAGCCCAAGAAGGACTTAAATGATTTTTTTTTTTGGATCAAAGATAGTATGTTGCTAGGGTTTCTCGAATGTAAGAAAAAAATGTATTTTTGTCTCCGCACAAGTGATATATATATGGACTTCTGTAATATATATGTTTGAATAATAATGCATTTGAGTTTTTCGTAGATATACAATACTTATCCTGATTTTTTGTTTGTCTTCCTTACATGCTCGTTATAGAACTCTTGACTTGGTTGATTGGTTTACTTGGACTTCATAGGTCATTTACATAAGTTACGAACTAGACTGCACAAAGGAAACAAAGTTGCAAAGATACAAAGGGATCGGTGAGAAAACTCTCCCAGCCACGGAGTTCGAGGTAAGGAGACGGGTAATAAACCATCGGATAATAGATGGGGAGATGTGGAAAACGACTACTCGCTTGTTTACCAAGTTAGGCAATTTTCCTCTGGTCTCTTAACATCACCTTCTCGGAAGCCCTATCTTTTAGCCAAAAACAGCGTCCTCCGAGCTCTTCTCTTCATACTTTTCCTTCTCTTGCACCAGATCTATGAAGAGCATTCCAACTGTTTAGTGCTTAATTCTTACGAAGTTCATCGTTTACAGGCTGTTCCTGTTATTATCTTCGTCTACCAGATCTCTTAACCATCACCTCAGCCCCGCGGTGACTAGCTTGCCTAATTTTTGCTAGGAGTCGACGTGAAACTCCTCCAGCAAGGGCCTGAAGCTTTTCATCCTCGCTAGAATGGCTCCACGTTTCTCTGAAGAGGAAAAAGGAAAGAAACACATGAAGGACGGCCCAAGAGACAACATCATACGCATCAGAGCACCGGTCCTAGACACCACAACTCTCATCAAAGACAATGCCCTTACACTGATAGGAAGACTCACTAACCCTCAGGAGCAAAAGATCTGGGCCCTCATCCCATCACTACCAAGAAAATGGAAACTACAAGGCAGAGCAGTGGGCTCCGACCTCGGAAATGATTGCTTTCAGTTCCGTTTCGAAAGAGAGGACGACCTCAGAAGGGTGTTAGACAACAGACCCTACCATTTCGCCTACTGGATGGTTATTATTCAGAGGTGGGAACCAGTCATTTCCACTTCCTTTCCTTCGATAATTCCATTCTGGGTCAGAATCAAAGGCATCCCCCTCCACTATTGGCATGAGGATACTATAGTCCGAGTGGGTCAAGAGCTAGGAACCCTGGATAACCATGAGCTGACAAGAACAACCGCAAGAGTCAGGATTATGGTGGATGGTTTAAAGCCTTTAATTAAAGAATCCATCCTGGAATTCGACTCTGGTGAAGAGAGCTTATTAACTTTCGAATATGAAAAACTAGAGCATCACTGTACCTACTGCAACTCACTCTTTCACCTAAGGAAGAATTGTCCCTTGAAGCTAAAGGACGACGATGCAGGAGAATCGACTCTGAAGCCGATGGACAAAAAGGACAGAACCTGCGTAAGGGAGGAAGAGAAGAAGTTACAGAAGGAAAACTCAAGAAACACTGTAAGGTACAATGAGTCTTCAAAACTATATCATCGTCGAACAACTGATGCAGAATTCCAGGAGAGTAAAAGGATGACAGCTAAGAGCCCACTGGAGAAGCCGTTTTAGGAAAGAGTTGATAGACACGGCAACCACTATGGAGATAGAGTGTTTACTAAGCAAACTCGCAACCCACCGCCGGAGAAAGGTACTACTCTGGGAGAGATTCCTGGGCAGACCATACAAGAAGCACCAGTGGAAGAAAATGCTCAAGTCTATGGATCTCCCCCTTACTCAAAAACCAGGGAAATCTACAAGAGGTCTTTCTCAAGAGGTCGAGACCTGTTCCCCAAAAGAAGCGAAGGTCAATGGAGACCTATACGCAGAAATGAGTCAGAGCCACGCCCTGAACAAGGAAAAACTCAAGAAAACATGGCAATAGAAGGAATCACCCTGCATTTATTGGGGAATTCTATAGGGCAGAACCAGCACCCTCGGTCAAGGGAGGATATAATGGAGGAGCTACATGATGTAACACGAAACTACCTGAATGTAACTGACCCCATTGAGGCTGCTGCACGAAGACAGAGAGTGCTCCACAGCGATGCAACTGATCTGATGGAAAGAACAGCAGATGCCATAATGGCGGCCTCACACCAGACTTCTCAACCAAGACTAATATCACAAGCCAATGAAAGTAACCCTGTGACGCCCCCACCACTACAAGAAGATCCTCTCCATGCTCCCCTACTTCCACAACAACTGGCTGACTACTGCCCCAATTACGGAGAGGAGAAAGACATAGATTTAGATCCTTTATATAGGGAGACAGCATCTTATGCAGATGAGAACCCTGAGGAAGAAGAAGTGAACTCAGCGAGAATTAAATCTATAATTATCAGTCCGCAAGCGGGGAGGATAGAACTACCTTCAGGAACAAGTTTGTCCCAGGAACCAATCGAGGCAACTGAAACTCGGGTAGTGCGACAAACAAGAGCTAAAGGAAGAGTAAGAAGAACTTCAAGGAGAACAGTTGTACGTTCTAGCCCAAACTTCTTAAGTGGCACTAGCTCCAAAAAGAGGAAGATCTCTCAACTACATAACTCACCAAGTGGAGAAGCTTTAGCTGAAAGAATCTCCTCAAGAACCCACAAGCTGATGAGAAGAACCTCGGATGAGGCAGGCCCATCTCATCCACCGATGAACCCTCCTATTCAACTAATCCCTGCGATGACAAAGAAAAAACAGGATTTTCGGTCAATTCCACACCGGGGTCCTTAGGCATACTTAGCTGGAACTGTTGTGGTTTGGGGAATCCCATAACAGTCCAGCGGCTGAAAGAAATTCAGAGAAAGAACTCACCTGATATAGTTTTTCTTATGGAGACAAAAAACCCCATTGACATGGTGATAAAAGAGCTGCATTGGCTACAAGATAATAATTACTTCGCTGTCAGTCTGCATAGTCCCGGAGGAGGAGGCCTGTTCCTATCTTGGAGAAAAGACATTAACCTCACCATCAACTCATCTTCGGATAACTTCATAGATACAACGATTCAGTACAAGGGGATTACGTTCCACACAACCTTCGTATATGGGGAACCTGATAGCTCCAAGAGGCAACAAGTCTGGATCACACTCTCAGCTTTACACCCGATAACCGGAGGACCGTGGTTCCTTACTGGGGATTTCAACGAAATTATTGATAACACTGAAAAGTGTGGAGGTCCAGATAGAGCTGAGGGTACTTTCTGTGCCTTCAGAACCTTCTTGTCCCAAAATGATCTGTTTGACTTAAAACATTCGGGTAGCTATCTATCTTGGAGAGGAAAGAGACACACGCATTTGGTCTTGTGTAGACTGGACAGGGCCATAAGCAACAGTGACTGGGCTGACCTCTTTCCGGCTTGTAGAAGTCAGTACCTCAAGTTTGAGGGATCCGATCACAGACCTCTTTTATCCTTCCTCGACACATCAAAGAAGAAGGGGAGGAAGATATTCAGATTCGACAGACGTTTAAATGAAAATTTGGAGATAAAAGAACTGGTATCATCAGTCTGGAATGGAGGCACAAACCTGACTGTGGAAGAACGCCTCTCAGCTTGCAGACAAGCGATTTGCAAGTGGTGCAAAGCTTTCTATGAAAACAGCCAGAAAGCTTTAGAAGAAACTCGGAGTATGCTTGGTCGAGCTCTGTCTGATATCACACCAGATGAGAACCTGATCCAGGAACTTAACCAGAAACTCCTTCATCTCTATAAGTTGGAAAAAAACTTCTGGAAACAAAGGAGTAGACAATTATGGTTAAATCTGGGAGATGCAAACACAAGCTACTTTCACGCGATCACAAAAGGAAGGAAAACAAGAAATATATTCTCTGTTCTAGAGGATAAGGATGGCTTACCTTTCTATGAAGAAGATCAAATAGCAACAATCATTTCAGGATACTATGCGGATCTCTTCACATCTTCAGGCTATCTCGGGAATCAGACAGTACTAGAGGCAATAAAACCATGTATTACTATGGAGCTGAATGAAAAACTGATTAAAATTCCACAAGCAGAAGAGATTAAGGAGGCTACCTTCTCAATTAATGGAGAAAAGGCACCGGGGCCAGATGGTTTCTCTGCCAGTTTCTTTCAATCAAACTGGGATGTGGTAGGAGCAGCTGTTACAAAAGAGATTCAAGCCTTCTTCATATCAGGGACCCTCGCACCAACAATAAACAAAACTCACGTTAGGCTCATTCCCAAGACCGTGGGAGCAAAGACTGTAGAGGAATACAGACCTATCACTTTGTGCAACATATATTACAAGATCATTTCAAAGCTCATAGCTACCAGATTGAAAACAGTCCTAGGAGCTATCATTTCTGAAAATCAATCTGCCTTTGTGGCTGGGAGAGCGATAGCAGATAACGTTTTAATCACGCATGAGGTATTGCACTTCCTAAAAACGTCTAAAGCAGAGATAAGATGTACCATGGCAGTGAAGACAGATATGTCTAAGGCATACGATAGGATCGAATGGGGTTTTATCTCAGATGTGCTACAACAGCTAGGCTTCAACGAAATTTTGATTAACTGGATAATGCAATGCATTACTACAGTTTCCTATTCCTACTTGGTGAATGATTCAGCATATGGCAATGTAAAACCTTACCGGGGTATTAGACAGGGAGATCCCCTCTCGCCCTATGTTTTTATACTCTGTAGCGAAGTCCTCTCGGGCTTGTGCAGGGAAGCGGGTAGAAAGGGACAACTCCAAGGCATCAGAGTGGCCAGAGGATGCCCAAGAGTAAATCATCTGCTTTTTGCAGATGATACTATGTTTTTCTGCCTAGCCTCCTCGACAGTGTGTGATACGCTCCTGACAATACTTCATGACTACGAGAAAGCGTCTGGGCAGATTATTAACAAAAGCAAATCGTCAATCACCTTTTCGAGTAAGACCCCAACAAAAGTTAAAGATACTGCAAAGGCAAAACTTGGAATAACAAAAGAAGGAGGACTGGGAAAATATCTTGGGCTCCCAGAACATTTTGGTAGGAAAAAAAAGGATTTATTTACCTCTATTGTCGACAGGATCAGACAAAAGGCAGTGAGCTGGGCCACAAAAAGACTCTCCAAAGCTGGGAAACTCACAATGCTCAAGTCGGTGCTGAGTGCAATTCCTACATACTCCATGTCTTGTTTCCAATTACATGTCAGTCTCTGCAAGAGAATACAGTCAGTTTTAACAAGATTTTGGTGGGATGATACGGATGGAAAAAGAAAAATCTGCTGGGTCTCATGGGAACAACTAACAAAACCTAAAGATTTAGGGGGCTTGGGACTAAGGGATATTCAAATCTTCAATCAGGCGCTGCTGGCAAAATTGGCATGGAGAATAATCACAGCCCCGGAATGTCTTTTTGCTCGAATTCTAGTGGGAAAATACTGTCAAGGAAAAAACTTCCTAGAGGTAGAACCACTACAGAATTGTTCACACGGCTGGAGGAGTATTTTACATGGGAGGGACCTGCTAAGAGAAAACCTGGGAAGGTCAATAGGAAATGGGCAAACTACTCGACTGTGGAAAGACTCCTGGATTTCGATGGACAAAGTGCTAAAACCTTTTGGGCCGATAAGCGAGGCAGCTCTAGACTTAACCGTAGCAGACCTACTAACGTCTGAGATGAAGTGGAATAAAATAAGAATCTAGGAAATTCTACCTGACCTGGCTGAACAAATACAGTGTATCCAACCAAGCATCAAAGGTGTTGAGGACTCCTTCGTCTGGCATCTGACAAAGTCAGGTCTATACTCCACCAAATCTGGATACCAAGCAGCACATATGTCTCTCAGAGTTTCAACACAAACAAGATCAGAAGGAGAGTTTAGTTGGATAAAAGATGTCTGGGCAGGGAAGTTCTCACCTAAAATGAAAACCTTCCTTTGGTCGATCATCTTGAAGGCTATTCCTCTGGGATCGAACCTTCAAAGAAGAGGCTTTCAGTCTGTAACGGTGTGTATAAGATGCCAAGATGTAGAAACAGAGCTCCACTGTTTCTTTTCCTGCCCTTTTGCGACCCAAGTCTGGAAGAACATCCCGGTACACAGAGCAGTTCACCTAGCTGCAATCACCAATTTCACAGAGCTGATAGTATATTTCAGAAAGACAATCTGCTTGCCCCCTTCGGGTATCACTTTCAATATCCTGCCCTGGGTCTTGTGGGAAATCTGGACATCAAGGAACACCTTAATCTTCGAAGGACGTTTCCAAACACCTGAAGACACAGCATTAAAGGCAATAAAACTCGCAAGGGAATGGTCGACAGCACAACCAGTTATGATCAAAGCCAAGAACGCACCTTCTTCCCAGCAGAGTCGCTACCGCCAAAAAGAAAAACCCCTCTTAGACAAGAACAGATTGATGTGTAGGACAGACGCGGCTTGGAACAAAGACAAGATGATGGCGGGACTGGGTTGGAACTTCTCAGGATCAACCCTTGAAGTGCCCATCAATGGTTCGATGGTCAAATCTTCAATCCGATCTCCACTCATCGCAGAAGCATGCGCGATCCGGGCTGCTCTCTGCTCGGCAATCACCCTGGAATTCACCTCAATGGATGTGTTCTCCGATAACATAACGCTCATACGAGCAATCTCTGGCAAATCTCAGTCTAAAGAAATCATCGGTATTGTGCAAGACATCCGTTCGATATCTTCTGAGTTTGCATCTATTTCTTTTTCGCAATTTTCTCGTTCAGAAAACTCTATCGCCGATGGGCTTGCTAAAGGGGCTCTCCAAGCCTCTCTATCTTTGTAATTTGAACCTTGAGATGGGCTTTTCTGGCCCATTCTCCTTTGCTTGCTTTTTTAAATTATTTCAGTGACAAAAAAAAAAAACGAACTAGACTGCATGGGGTCATGGGGTTATATACGTTGAATGACAATAATATCACGAACTGCCGAAATCCTCCAGTCGGCAGCGCTGATGAGATGAGTATCTGTCCGAGTCACGTGAGCCACGTTCTTCCTTTTTAATGAGAAAATCATTTAATTACGATTATACAATTTTAGAAATATTTTTTCCTCTGGTCTGTTGAAGTATCCCATCACGAATCCAACTACCTCATTGATTAGATTAGAACAATAAGACGACAGAAAATCTTTTTGGTGCAAAAGGCAAAATCCTGTACGATTAGTTACGTCATTCTCTCTGGGGATGGTCTTCTATATAAGTTTGTGCAATGGCTTGTTTTGAAGACACAGAAAACAAATCTACTCTTTCAGAGAAAAACAAAAGCATAATGGCTGGTCTCAATGAAGTCGTTCCGACAATAGACTTGAAAGAGGTTCGGGATGAGATGTTGAACCAGCAGATACGTGAGGCAAGTGAGAGATGGGGTTGTTTTAAGGTGATCAACCATGGAGTTTCTTTGTCTTTGATGTCTGAGATGAAGAAAGCTGTTACAGATCTCCATGAACGTCCACACGAGGTGAAACTACGAAACACTGATGTGATACTATCGAGTGGTTACAAGGCTATAAGTGAGTTAAATCCTTTATATGAATCATTTGGTCTTTTTGACGTCGCCTCTCCTCAAGCTATCAATACTTTTTGTGACAAACTCGAGGCCTCTGATGAACAAAGGTGTTTTTTTTTGCTTTTCACTCTTATCTAACCGTCGTTGGTTTAGTCTCTGTCCCCATTTTGTTTATTTTAACCTTTTTTTTTCTTGCTTTCAAGGTTCTGTGCCTAATCCGCTTTTCTGTTCAATGTGGTTGTTAAACCTTAACTAGGATCTAACCCACGTCAAATCGCACATAATTTCTTTTTCTGTTTATTTTATTAAATCAAGACAAATTACTGCATGTTTTTATCTTTATGTTAAAATCGGTTCGGAAATTAATTGAAGCAAATCTCGAATTGATAATATATTACTAATTACTATTAATTTGTTTACATTTAATCCAATCGGTTTGTTTTTGTTGTGATACCCGATTGGTTAGAATAACCGAGTTATTATTATTATTATAATTATAATAATAATAATAATTATTATTATTATTATGACATATTTCAAACTTTAGTAAAATATGACTCTAACTTAATATTCGGTTTATGATGGATCTTTGATCTTAAAGATGTCTTGATGGTTTTCAAATATTTTTCTTTTCTTTTTTCTTTTCGGTTGTAGAAAGATCATGGTGAACTATGGCAAAGCTATGGATGGCCTTGCAAAAGATTTAGCAAGGAGATTAGCAAAGAGTTATGAGGTAGCGGATAACGACATATGCAAAGAATGGCCATGCCAGTTTCGGATTAGCAAATATCATTTCAAACCTGAAACAGTTGGTAAAAATGGTCTGATATTACACACCGATCCTGGATTCTTAACAATTGTTCACGGTGATGACGATGTGGGTGGACTTGAGGCCATGGACCCTTCTTCAGGAACCTTTTTCCCCATAAACACTTCGCCAAACACACTTACTGTCAACCTTGGTGACATGGCTAAGGTAAGAGAAAGTGAACATCACTAATAGTGTTTTGAGCTTGAGCCACGAAAACTCGTTTTTAATTGTTGGACTTTTTGAATCTTTCTTAATAAGATATGGAGCAATGGGAGGTTGTGCAATGTGAAGCATAGAGTGCAATGCAAAGAAGCAAAAATGAGGATTACTATCTCCACCTTCCTATTAATACCAATGGATAAAGTTGTTGAGCCTCCAAGGGCATTTGTGGATGCTAAACATCCACGTCTATACAAGCCTATCAGCGATGGAGAACTTAGAAAGATTAGGCTGAGCAACAACATGCATGACGGAGAATCTCTCCGGTTTGTAACCCTGAAATAATAATATGACCCAACGATACAATAAGGCGGTTGTCATACAAATCAAAATCTATATGGGTGGTGTCTCCACGAAAATGTTTTGTGTTTTCTCCTAATAAGAGTTACAAATAATGAAATAAAGATAAACCTTCTTATGATTATTAGCGTATAATCTCTATAATATTATTTGAGAAGTCACTTTCTTAGATGTCGCACTCACGTTAACTCTCACACTGGTTGATTACTATGATACCCCTAATAAATTAAAAATACAATTAAATATTATTTCTTTTTTAAAAATTTCCAAATAACATTATAAAATAAAAAGGAAACATTTATAAAATTTACAAAACTATTTAAATACGAAAATATAAGCATATATAACATGGTTTAATAAAAATGGAAAGTTCACAAAAGAGTAATATTTAATTTAAATATATTTTAAATAACATAAAATATACCTTTGAAGTAATAAAATACTTTATATCTATATCTTCTTAGATAAAAAAAAACAATATCTGCATATAATGTGATTTCATAAAAACATTTCACACAAAAATATTGCTATTAGAAAAAGAAATACTTTTTCTTTAAAAAACATAATTTATACAATAAAATATATATATTTTCAAAATAATTATTTTTTGTATATATCTATCTATTTTATTAGATGATTACATAAAATAATCAACTAACATAAACTGATATATGTTTAATTGACATTTTTTATAATTAGTATTATATATTTGACTATAATATCTTACAATTACAGTAAAAATATAAATTCTATTTTACTTATATAGTATAATTTCTCAAAAACGATCACTTTTTACTGACTATTTTAAGAGATACTAAAGATAAAACTAAAAATAAATTTAATAATAAACATCTTTTGATCAAGTAACTACAATTATTTTAAAATATCATAACACTGTATAATTTAACGAGGTATATATATTATATTTTAATAGTTAAAATTATCTGTTACACAAACATAAAAACAAAAAATAACTACAATTATTTTAAAATACCATAACAATATTTAATTTAATGAGGTAGATATATTATATTTTAATATTTAAAATTATATGTTTTCTTAATAAATATTTTGATTTTTAATTTTTTTTTTTTATGTTTGTGAAACTTAATATAACAATAGTCAAAATACTTAAGAAAATCAAAATCCTTATTTTTTAAATTATTTAAAATAAATTTCAGTTTACCATCCAATCAAATCTAAAGCATACATTTATTTAGAATTAATAAAATATTTTAATTATTGTAAATATTGATATGTGTTCAAAAGCTTCTAAAAATTCATTAGTTACTTATGTATGTAATTTAGAATCAGAAACTTTTTTTTAATTTTTTTTCCTTCTAAGTACAAAAAAATTTTAAGTTATATATAATTTTACTAAATATACTTATATTTCTAAGATAACAACCAACATAAATGTAAATAAGACAATTAATCAAAAATTTAATATATTAAAAATATAAAATATAATAGTTGAATTTAGAGAAATAGATAGAATCCAATATATCTAAATGATAACTAAATTGACCGTAAAAACAATAAAATAGACTAAATATAACATATCTAAAATTATATATATATATAATTAAAGTAATATAATATTATAATATAAATTAGACATACAAACTATAAATTAATTTTAAAATTAAAGTAAATATCAATCAATTATTATTGTATATTTATTTTATAAATATACATGTCCGTGCATGAGCACGAGAAAATCACCTAGTATAATGATAATATGAGATATTTTTACCAAAAGTATTGAAGCTATATTCTGAGTCTGTTAATTAACGTTTTCTTTTTAAGAAAAAATCTGAGTCTGTCAATTTCAAAACTCCAACGTTGTCACATGTTAAGCCATGCATAAACAGAGATAAATCGTAAAATACAAGATTTTTAATGACATTTATTTATACTATTTCTTCGAGCTATAAAATTTTGGATATGTTTTCCAAATTATATATACTAGGTGATTTTTCCGTGCTCATGCACGGGTATAAATATTCATAAAAGTAAAATTTTATAATAATTAATTTCTATTTAGTTTTAGTTTTAATTTTGAATAAATTTATATGTATAATTTATATTAATAAATATTATATTATTCTAATTATACATATGACTTTAGATATATCATTGTTGGTTTAATTATTTTTTGGATCAATAGTCGGTTTGGTTATCAATTTGGTATATGGGATAATATCTATTTTTCGAATTCAGCTATACTATTTTTTATTCTAAATATATTAAAACTTTGATTAATTTTCTTATTTTCATTTCGGTTGGTTATTGTCGTAGATATGTAAATATATTATAGTTAAGTTATGACTTGATATATATTGTGCTTAAAATGAAATAAATAATAAACTGAAGTGTTTGATTCAAAATTACATAAAGGAATATAATGATAATATTTTGAAGTCTCATGCATATATATAAATTCTACAAAATAATTAATTTGTAATTGGTTAATATTTTATTTTTCTTTTTAATATGTTTTGAGTCAACCTCTAATTTATATGTATAAAATTAAATAGATTATTATTATTATTATTATTATTATTATTATTTAAAATTATATGTTCTTATTGTAGTTAGATGTTTAATTTTGGATATAAATTAGATTAAAATTAAAGTATAATTACTTTTTGTTTGAGTTAAGTCAAATCAAATTATTTTTATTTATCGCTTAAATATACATGTATTTTCATAATATTTATTTACTCTTTATTTTAGTTAATTTAAATCAAATTATTTTTATTTATCGCTTAAATATACATATATTTTCATAATATTTATCAAATTATATGATGATTTCTTAAAAATATTAGAAAATAGTGTAACTTATAAAATTTTGAATGGTCATGAACATATATGTTTTATTATTTTGAAAATATATTTTATGTTATTTAAAAATATATATTAATGGGGGTATTACTATTTTGTCAACTTTCCTTTTTTAATAAAGTCATATTATATATATATATTTTCTTTTTTAAATTTGTTTTAAAATTTTAGAAATATTTCCTTTTTATTATATATGTTATTTGGAAAAAGGTAAAAAGGAACTAAATAAAAAAATTAATAATAATCTTAAAATATAATAATTCATTAAGGGTATCTATGTAATCAACCATCGTGAGAGTTAACGTGAGCACGACACGTAGGAAACTGACTTCTCAAATAATATTATAGAGATCTTAGACACAACCCCACCCCACCCCCAATGGGGGTTTCTCACCTTGATTATCTAAAAATACATATATATATAATATATATATATATATGTATTTTTAGATATCCAAGGTGAGAATCCCATTGGGGATCCTAGGTTCCAATCTTCACAACGCATTATAAAAGGAGTGGCCTTTATTGTCTTAGCTTGACAACCATAGAGCCGAGAAGTCTATGGAAACATGGCTCCATTGACACGGCTTTAACGCATGGTGGGTCTGGAGTTGTGTGGTTCTTTGGCTTGTAGAGTATCCATGCTATTAGTCCTCCGAGACCTTGAGCAAACATATCCGAACGTAGACAAGCCGCTTATGACAAGGTTTTTTTTTTTTTGGTAAACCCTATCGGCTGATCCGGTCAGTCCTAGGAGAAACGTACTTAATGCTATAGAGTGGACTGGCTACCACACTTCTTCACCCGAGTTTGGACTACCTTCCAACTAATGCCAGGAGGTGAACCGATCATTTGTTACGATCCACGTAAAATGACAAGGCTATTAGTTAGGCATAATAGATACATCTCAGCGAGTGCCTTTTGGTCGTGAAGCCTCTTGTCTGTTTGAAGGCTCAACATAAAGTCAATGGAGCATTCTTGATTAACAAAACCAAAAGATAAATGATTTTAGCGGTGATGGTCATAGCATCAATAAGCTGGTTGTTGAAGATGATGAATAGTGATAGTAACACATCAGTGACCAAAGTAGTAAGCAAATGACAAATAATGTCATTAGCTTCATCTTGAAAACCCAGAGCTCAGAAACTTTCCTATAGATTTTAAGTAGTAGTTGCAGTTGTTATTAAGAGCCATCAAAGGGTTCAAGTGGGACTAAAAACACTAGTTCTGATTATGGTAGAAGGATCTTGTACTTCTTTTATAAATGTGATGATAAATGTGTGCTGTGCTATGATTGAAGGTGATAGGTGACGCTTGTCTTTTTGTTTGTACAATCTCTATCCGATTCCCATGTCCTTTTAATGACTGAAGGGACTTGTCTGAGTTGTCTCTTCCTCCTCTAAACTTGAACCACAAGTCTCTTATCTCCCATTGATAAGTAAGTAAGCATTGTAGAGTCTTTTTATACCAAACCCTACACTTACCTATTAGGCAGGAATCCTCGCCAATATTTTGAACATTTTTAGTAAAACGAATGGAGGAACCGAATCTCAAATGAACAAACAAAAGATAAAAAGAAATAAATTAACGAGTAACTTTGAAATATAGGTTTGATAAAGGAAAAAATTATCTATCTTTCTTGAGAAAATAAATAAACAATATCAATTGTCAAAGATGCATCCCAGTCTGCAGTACACCATGCTAAATTACAGGCCATGATACTTCGATCTGGACAATGTACAAAGAACTTACGAAGAGCCAATGTTTAAAACCTCAGGTGAGGATGTGGAGACAGCTAGGAATATGAAATATTAGTGATTATTAGGTATAATAAAGTAATAAACTAACAAACCTGGTAAATATCTTTGACAACTAGTTTGTTTCTATGCCCCATAACATAATTAATATAGAGACACAGCCAAGTGTAAGAAAATATAAGCGTGATTATTATAGACGGAAAAGCAAAAGAGAGAGAGAACAATGAATCAGCTAAGATAAAACAAGAACTATTACAACTCATCAAATAGCTTAATCCCATCATGCTCACGATCCTCACAGTCCCTTACAAAAGGAACAACCTTCCCTGAGTACGTTCCCCAATCAGCATCACATCCATGAGACGGAGGAGTAAGGTGACAAGGGTCAATAGACGTTGATCGAATACAGGGAGGATCAGGAGCTGTGAGATCCTTCGGCTGATATAGTAACCATGGCTTTAACCCTCCTAGACTATGAGCAACATATCCGAACGTGGACCTTGCGCTA